TAGCGAAGAGTTTTTTGTCGATGTAAAACTAGTCACTAAGATAGTTCCAGTTGTATCTAGTAGGTTGCAACAAGTCATGGATATGAATTGCTGCACAAAATTAGTGAGAAAAATAAGGAAAAATAAAAGTGAGAAGGAATTAACTGTACCTAAATAGCACTATAGCATGAGGAGAAATATTACTATAAAACCCACTTTTGTGGAGGCATAACCATGAAGACACCTCTAGATCTAGACCATTAGTTGATTAAGCGACACAACTATGATGATTAGAAAAGAAAATTTTAAATACTATGCAGCTGTGAAGTTTTCTATTGTCAAGCAATGTCTCTTGAATTGTAAAGATGTTTAAGACTTATGTTTATTTGATTGATCTAGCCTATGAGATAACTAAATTTTATTCGAGATCCAGTGAGACATCCATTCTTGAGGTGATCTAAGGGGGACAACATGTCTTAGATTTAGAAAGATGCGTTACCTATTTACCTAGAATGCTCTGAAAATGGTTATGGAGTGCAATACCATTACAACAGTATAGATATACATGTGCTAAAGTTATAAAAACCAGGATAAAAAATCACACACGTATGCACGCGAGCGCACAAAACACACATACATGTTACTAACTTACTATAGAAAGCAAGGTTTAAAAGTTTCCGCATCTGCTTAGGCGGATCTATAGTATGCATTTCAGAAGTTTCGACATTTTCACATCAAACAGATGTAGGCATCAGAAATTTTGTCAGTGTGATAGTTTCTGTGTTGATTTCTCTCTACTTTTTTCAAGCACACCACTATTAAATAAATTTTATTGTCTCAAAACTGGCATCTCCTCCTGTAATGAACAATAGCCAGTGTCAACCTATAATACTTGTTATTAGCCTATATCGTCAGCATCGAGTGGTATGACTAGAATAGATCAGCATGCTTAAAATCTGTGATACAACAAGGCAAATACGTGCCAATATTGACTGATACCTCAAACATTGGGTATGAGTGCGGTGTTACAATGCCAGCACAACAATACACCAAATATTAGAGAATATATCGTTTTACAGCCTGGTAAATCAGAATATACTTGCAGACTGGGCATACATTTTTATGTATGTCTTGATGTTCACCAAACCTCATGACCCATAAAACAGTTCAGTAAGCACCATATTCTGAATCGCAAGTGATAGTTTTCAACTTACACGTACTGTTCCATAACTAACCTATGGTTGCTCCCTATTATGAAAGTTGGCAAATCATATGAATTTACAAGGTTGATTGCAAATTGATTTGTTAATCCAATGATTCGTGAATTGAATTGAATTTAACTATATAATATTCAGTATGTGTCTGTCAAAGTGTTCATGCTTCACTAGATGTGGCTGTCTACACAGATTCCTCTAGTTGCTTTTCCGTCAGGCATCTGTGTGCCGAGTCCGCGGCATCTGTGTGCCGAATCCACGGACGATGATACAAAAATTTGGAAATCTGGGGAAGACAGAGGAATGCATATTATGCTATGCTCATTAATGTCAATTAGTAAGACAAAAGATATACATTTATGTTTGACTGTTTGTCCATGTTTTGAGATTATATGACTTCGTCTACGTGTTATGTTAGTGTACTCTCTATATAGAGGAAATCATGACGAATGTCAATCAGTTAAATGTACATTCATGCTTACTATTATGGATGATCTAAAAAGTGGTGTGGGATGTTCATGCTGGGACATCATTTCTGACTGCAGATAATGAGCCACAACCTGACCTGTTATACATCTTTTTATTAATATACTATTTTGTAAGTTTTCTTTTGAGATGAACTAATCATACAAAAACAAAATCCTCTCGTGTGGGATGAATTTGACGTTTCAAGTTGTCTACCTTAGTTAGGTGTTTTCATCCACACTGAGTTGAGGGAGGCGATTTTGACCCCACAGTCTTTTATAGCCACTAAACACAATGTCTAGTTTTTTATTGTAATCTCCCCTTGGATATCTATCCTAGATATTGGGTTACTCTTAAGTCGAGATATACAATTAATCCATAGTCCATACCTTCGCTGGCTGGCTGGTATCGGTGCTGTATTTCATGTCTAAAACATGATTATTATGCTTGCTATATTTGTTAAACTTCCTTTCATGTCATATTTATTCTGGAATTTATGATGCTGTTGCTATTCTATTAAATATATAAGATGCTTTTTCAAACGTGATTGATAGGGTTTATTATCTACCACTGTGAAGAAACTTCTGTAATGTGCTTAAAACTGGACGTTTTGACGTGTATTATGCCCTGAGGCAGGATGAATCCAATTTCCTATGATAAACACTGAGAACTTCCCTTCAGTAGTTTTGCTTACCTGTCTTTTAAGTTTAATGACCTGTCTTCCAATTTCCTTAGCCAGGAATTATATTGTCCAATGTCAGGTTGACCGCCTCATCACTCCAACTCTTTGCGAGTCAGCCCATCTCTTTGTTCTTTCTGCTTATTTTTCCCCTTAGCCAACCCACAATTTTCATAGAAACATAGTAGAAGTTTCTATGGTAAATGACTATTCAATAATTATTCCGCAAAAATATCATCTTCTGTATTCACTTTGTTCAAATTATTTATTGTTGTTGTTGTCCTTGTTGTTCTTGTTGTGTATAAGTGGATAGATTTTATGAAGATTTCTTTCTTTACCTGAGAACGAGAAGATTTGTATACGAAATCTTGGCAAAAATCTTGAGTGAAGTACTTGCACCTCTAAACACTTCTACGTTTGTCTAACCCAGGAATTGCCCTTCATCAGCTATAAGAATACTCATCTCCATCAGCTTCTAGATCAAAATGCTCACCGTTCCAAGAGAACCTAACAATTCTCTAGCCATCGCGGGCTCAAACAATCCCATCCAACCGTTGGGCCTCAACGGCAAAACCCCACAGCGAACCTCCAGTCTCGAATCCCCCATCATGCTCCTCACTGGCCACCAGAGCGCCGTCTACACCATGAAGTTCAACCCATCCGGAACTGTGATTGCATCTGGGTCCCATGACAAAGACATCTTCCTTTGGCATGTCCATGGCGACTGCAAGAACTTCGCTGTCCTCCGTGGCCACAAGAACGCTGTCCTCGACCTCCACTGGACTCCCGATGGCACCCACATAATTTCTGCAAGCCCCGACAGAACGCTTCGAGCTTGGGATGTTGAGTCTGGAGGCAAACAAATCAAGAAGATGGCCGAGCACTCATCACACGTTAACTCCTGCTGCTCGTCTCGCCGGGGCCCACCGCTCGTCGGTAGCGGCTCTGATGACGGCACTGCAAAGATTTGGGATTTGAGACTTCGCGGAGCGATTCAGACTCTACCTGATAAGTATCAGATAACTGCTGTAGAATTCTCTGATGCTGCTGATAAAATTTTCACTGGAGGGCTCGATAATGATGTGAAGGTTTGGGATCTTCGAAGGATGAATGAAGTGGTTATGACTCTTCAAGGACATGGAGATATGATCACAGGGATGCAGCTGAGCCCCGATGGATCTTATCTGTTGACTAATGGAATGGATTGCACGCTGAGGATTTGGGATATGAGGCCATATGCTCCTCAAAACCGTTGTGTTAAGATTTTTGCTGGTCACCAACATAATTTCGAGAAAAATTTGCTGAAGTGTGCTTGGGCTCCTGATGGAAGTAAGGTGACCGCTGGAAGCTCAGATCGAATGGTTTATATCTGGGATACAACGTCGAGGAGGATTTTGTATAAGTTACCAGGGCATAATGGATCGGTGAATGAGACTGCTTTTCATCCGAGCGAGCCTATCATTGGTTCTTGTAGCAGTGATAAGCAGATTTACCTTGGAGAGCTCTAGTTTTAAAGTTTCTATTGTCACTTCCAGTTTGTTTGGTGAAATTTGGGTGAAAAGTATTAGTTTGTTGTAGTGTTTTCAGTGAATACCGCTGTGGCTGATTGAAACTTTGAGAAGATTGACTATTGGAGAATGCGGTGTATGATTTCTATTTTGATGGAACCTTAGCTTATAGAATTGTTTCTGATGGTGCTCCGTATCTATTCTCACAGAGGAATTATCTCTAGGCACAGCGAATCCGAGGTAAGTTTTATGAGAATTTGTTCATATTGTTAGCTATGATTAGAGAAGGAAATGCTTGCTAGTTATACCTCATTGCTATATAAATTTGCTGAATGCGTTCATTTGAAAGAATTATCTGAATTGAAACATCATTCATTGAACTGAACGTCATAGTCTCAGTTCTACACGTATTCGTTTCATTTGTATACTCTCAAAATCCCATCTTGGGGGTAACTGTGTTCTTATCTTTATCCTTCTTCTGTATATCCCGTGGCAGACAATTTATAGAAATGCTAGGTTTCTCTCCATGATCCTGTTCTGATGCTTCACCCATTGCTCCTGCTCTTGAATGAGCTTTTGCCTTGCCTCCCCATCCAACTTGTTCTGTATCCATGCCGATTTCTCGAATGACTTTCTTGCTGACCCTCTCTCCTCATCTCTTGCACTCGATGCTCGATACGAACGAAACGAAAGACAACGCCTATCATCGTCTTCGATGATGAACGGATTTATTGAACCCTGGCAACTGCTAGGGTTTCGTGACACCCTCTCTGATTCCGGTTCCTTCCCCCTTCTTGGTAGAATCGAGTCCAACACAGACTCCGACGGTGATCCAAGAAGCAATCTCTGGGGGCTCTCGGTATAGCTTGGTGGTGGAGTGGCACCCTTATGACCCCTTAGGAAATCATTGAGCCTCTGGAGTAACTTCTTTGATATCTTCTGAACCGTTGGGTACTCTGAAGAGCTGCATATGCCCATATTCTTGCACAGTGCATAGAACTCGTCGAGATCCTCGAACAATTTGGCCGTCTTTCTACACGCCTCGACGGTGGCTACGCATGAAGGGTAAGGAAGCTGGAAGAAGTTGTCGAGAAGAAGAGATATGCCTCTGGCAACATCATCGTACAAGTCGAAGCTCTCGCGGATGATGGAGCAGAGTGAGATCTGCACGAGCCCGGTTCGTCTTCGCCAGTCCGGTAGGCCTCGTTCCAACTGCCCGGTCAAGGAGCTGTTGCCAGTGCTGGATCCGGTCAAGCAAAATTCCTGGTTTCAGGTCAGTCGGGCAGCGGCGACGACGACGACGGAGGGAAATATAGCCTTGGAGGGACGCCTGAAGTCGAGCATCGAGGTAGCGAGCGTAAGTCCGGACGAAGGCGGTGAAGTCCCAAGGGGACGACCGGAAGGACGATAGGTCGAGTAGGCGGTGCATGGCCGCTTCACGCCGGAAGTCGGGGCCGCCGTCGAGCATTGTGGTGTAGATGACGGTTAGGGTTTTCAAGGCGACGACCCAGTTGGAGGTTTTGGTCACGGCAGGCCGGCAGGGAGGGGAGGCAAGCAGGCAGGACTTCCGGGGCGGTAGCGGTCGTTGACCGGGGACTTCGCTCGAGTGCTGTCGATGAGCCCCGTAAGGCGACGAGGGCGAGAGTGATGCTCGTCTGGTCCTTGACGGCGCCGAACACCTTCTTAAGCTTGGGGGCCATTGTGGCCGGAGTTCGGTATGTGATTGTTCTGTCCCTCTCTAAAACCAAATCCTTAGCATTATTGAAATTGGATGATTGTTAGGGGGGAGAAGAAAGAAAACTACACGGTGGTTGTTTGGTTTCTTGGAAGGTTTTTGAAGTCGGAATGTTTTAACGGTATTTTGAAAGGTTGCAACTGTTTTTTGAAGGGGGGTGAAAAGGGAGGAGGAAAATAAGAGGGGTTGTCAAAAAATGAGCTTTTTTTTCTTTTTACTAAAGAAACGAGTGGATCGGGTTTGATTTCTATTTTCAGGGATAATTTTTTTCGGAATAAGCCTATTTTTAAATTTTTCATGTTGGTGTCCGTCCTATTATTTCGAGAAAAAGAAATGTTTGAAAGTTTTTGATTAAGCTCTTTTTGAGGTTCACTTGCACGAGGCTAGATGAGACTGAGAAAGAATCAATGCAAGAACTAAAGCTTTAAAATTTATGCTTTTTCTTAGGTAGGTTTTACAAAAATCCTCTAAAATTTTGGGTGGGATCGGCTAAATACCCATATTGGTATTTTAATTCCACCGCATTTATTAAGAAGGTATTTTAATTGATTCAACTTACCAGCAATGCCCTTTTTCTCGTCAGCGACCAATTTTCCGGCGAGAGCTCGTCCCGTGCGTGGCACATGATGACTTAAACTGTTTTTTAGCTGCTGATGTGGCACGAATTTTCTGACGTGACAGTGTTTAAAGGCGGGAATTAACCTTCTAAATCTCAATTCACCCAAAATAGGACAGATCCGTGTCACATTAGCAGCTAAAAACAGTTTAAGTCATCACGTGTCACGCACGTGACGAGCTCTGCCGGAAAACTGGTCACCGACGAGAAAAATGACCTTGTTGGTAAGTTGAATCAATTAAAATGTCTTAAAGCATGTTTGCCTAATTAAAATACCTTCTTGATAAATGGGACGGAATTAAAATACCAATATGGGTATTTAGCCATATAAAGACTGTGGAAATACTAGATAAGAGCTATCATCTCATTCAGCATGATAAACTACAGAAAGATTAGAGTTATGACGATCATCTACCCTCGTGCTTGAAGATTGGATCTTATAACACTATCTTTTGATAGCTTATTTAACATCTTTAAATTTAAAACGTAGAAAGAGATTGAGGGAACAATAAGGAGATTGGCTCATTGTTTTGTTCCACATCTCGTTTTTTTTTTTTCAGAACTTCACAATTTAATTATTTTGATATTACAAGTAAGTACGCTCGAACTCTCCTCCCAACAATCAACTATCACAAACTATTCTCTGAAGTCTGAACCAACAAAACCTCGATCGTTGTAGCTCGTTACTAATTAATCGTTGAATAAACCTTGAAGTTTGTTGAACCAATGCCTTAATCTTAACTTGAGCGTTTTGTTGTCACATGGGCAAAGTTTAGTTGGTAGAATAAATGAGTTTGAAGGTTGTTTTGATGGTTAATTTTGTCTAATCTTGCAGTACATGCAAAATGAGAGGCTGAGATGAGAATTTTCAGGTTCGTAGACCGAAGGATATGCAAATGAGTGCTGTAACAAAATTCCAAATAGGAGAAAATATTTAATGTTCTCGATTTTTTTTATTAGTAGACTCTGTCACCTGGACATTTATGCATTTGCGTAGTGATTAATTAATATGATTGATCGATAGAAGAAATTTTCACGGACAAATTTTCAAAACCAACCTATTTGAAAATTTAATCCCAGAAAACAACCATTTTCAAACTTAATTGTAAAAACCGACTAGGTTTCAGCCTTGGAGCTAAAACCAGATCGGTTTTTAAAAATTTTTATCCGAAACTTCACGGGAGTTGAACTCCCGTGAAGTTTAGTAAAACTGCGAAACTTTACGGGAGTTGAACTCCCGTGAATTTTCGTAGTTCAAATTTTTTTTTTGAATTGCGAAACTTCACGAGAGTTCAACTCCCGTGAAGTTTAGCAGTTTTACTATTTCCGAAGTTTTTTTCACAAAAACCGACTTAGTTTCAGCGCCAAGGCTGAAACCAGGTCGATTTTTACAATTAAGTTTGAAAGGGGTTGTTTTCTGGGATTAAATTTCCAAATAGGTTGGTTTGAAAATTTGTCCAAATTTTCACTGTAGACCTATTCCCATATTTAATCCCTAAAACCGACCAACTTTAAAGTTATTTATGAGAATCGATCCACTTTGAGTTAATTGCGTTACTAATTAGTCGGGATTGCCAACCCCGACTAATTAGTAGCCCAATTAGCAGCCACAAACATTCCATGTTCCCTGACCCCGCTTGTAATTAGGCTACTAATTAGTAGGGGTTGATAACCTCGACTAATTAGTACCGTAATTAACTCAAAGTGGGTTGATTCTTATAAATAAATTTAAAGTGTGTCGGTTTTAGGGATTAAATCTGAGATTAGTCTACAGTGAAAATTTCTTCTTGATCGATATATCATACATAATAAACGCAACAGATCAGATCCACCGAACGCTAGTATGAATCCGCAGCAAAAGTTTTCCACATGAATAAATAAATTAAGGTTTACACGGTTTACACATCCAAGCATGGATTAGAACAAGCCAACATATAATTATTTCCAAATATAATGAGCTCTTGATAATATTTTTCTCTCTAATCATCTTCCCTCTTTGATCACCCTCCACAGATATTTTCCACTTGCCATGTCCATAAATGCCCAAAACCCATCTCCAATTACCTGTTTAATTTACACAAAACCATCATTAATTTCGAAAAAAACAAATAAACTAATGAAAATAAATATAACGAATAAAATCAAGAGTGTTTTTTTTTTAACTTTCTGGTCCCCTTCGTTTTTCTTCGGATCACCCGTCGGGGTCTCGGTTTCAGGCTCCGTAATGTGACCCTGCGGTGACCTCACCGCCCTCCAAGCGACGAGCCCCGCGATTGCGGCCGAGAGAAGCACGAGAATGATGCGCAAAGGGCACATCCTTAGGACCGCCGGTGAGATTATTATAGAAGGGGTTCTTTGGAAAAATTTCTACGTCCGAGAAAAGCGAAGGGGAGCCGCTCCGCACGAGAGAGGAATTCACGGCGACTTTCCCTCGTCCAGTGGAATAACAAAACGCGGGAGGCGCTTTGCTTTCGCGGACGTCAATGTTCGACCCAAGAGTGGGACCCGCGTCCAGAAGTTGGAGAAACTTCCCAAACTATTTATCAAAAACTTTTTAAAGCTTGCAGATTAATACCCTCAGTAGTAGGGGTGCTAAACCGTATCTGTATCCGAGGAAATATTCGTAACCGTATCCGTTAGGATACAGATATGATTACTCAAATCTATAATCGATAGAATATGGTTTCGGATATGGTTTTGTAGTGAAATATCTGTATTCGTATCTGAAATATCTGAATACATATTAGTGATACTATTACGATAGTTCCGATTCTTAGATTATGGATTTGTGGTTAGTTTTGATGATCAAGATGTCTAATCTTAACTTTTCAGTTATAATGAACATATTAACACTCTTTTGTATCACATGAACTATGTTTTTTTCTCAATACTATCTAGTTTTCTCATATCTGTTTTGTATCAGCTTGCATATCTGCTTATATCCGCATGTATATCCGTAACCGTATCCGATTTTAGCGGATATGGTTATGAATTTTCCTTATCGATGTACATCTGTATCCTTATCCGTATCCGAGATAGGTAAGAGGATATGGATATGATAAGCATCATATCAGAGCCGTATCCGGACCGCATGCACTCCTACTCAGTAGTCAATTATGCACACCACATGAAAACTACGGCAAGAAAATTCTCGTGTGATGCTAGCACGTTAATTTTAGAATATTTTAACTCTTAACATTTATTATACTTATGAAAAATATTATTTTAAACTATAATTATTGTAGGTTTTAAATAGAATTACGTTAGTTTTAACAATAAACTTAACATTTGTTAATCTTACTATTAAACTTAGGAAAATTCTCATGTGATGCCCCAAGAAAATTCTCATTTGATGCTACCATGTTAATGTTAGAGTATTTTAACTCTTAATATTTGATAAACTTACTATTAAACTTAAGGAAAAATCTTATTCTAAACTACAATTTTTGTAGGTTTCAAAAAGAACTACAATAGTTCTAACAATAAATAAGGATTAAAAAATTCTAAAATTAACACATGGGTATCACCGTATCACATGAACATATTCCCGGATAAATTCTCAAATTTGCATAATTGAGGGTATTAAAATTCTAAAATTAACACATGGGTATCACAGGATAAATTCTCAAATTTGCATAATTGAGGGTATTAAAAAATTCTAAAATTAACACATGGGTATCACCGTATCACTTGAACATATTCCCGGATAAATTCTCAAATTTACATAATTGAGGGTATTTGTGTGCAAATCTTAGAACGTACTTAAGAGCTGCCAGAAACAAGTGAGCGTACAATTACTTCAAGTGCAATTAAGCCATATCTATTCACAGGAAAAGGCGAATAGAAGTTTCTACACGTTTTATCAATCCATGAACAGGATAATGGATAGGTTAGATGCATACATTACCGTACAGGAATAACCAATAAAAACCCAAAAATGTATCAAGATTGGTTGAACTTGCATCACAAATATTAGTGACAAAACATTCAGTATTTTACATGCCAAGCCTGAGCTGTTCAGATTCATCTCTGTTCAACACGCAAGAACAGAATGTAACCTGAAGTTAACACAAGTAAGGTCAAGTTATATTACATGTTTTCTTCAAGCAAGCTGAGCTTCTGTGTATAAACTTTACAGGAACATTTTTGACATACAGACAGGCACAAATGTCCCATGAAACCATGGAATCCCGCAAATCAAACCTTTGAGAATTCCCAGTCACCAATAACGAGTTCACCGATGAATATATTTAAATCCATCCAAATCACCTTATAATTTTAGAATATTTTAACTCTTAACATTTATTATACTTATGAAAAATATTATTTAAAACTATAATTATTGTAGGTTTTAAATAGAATTACGTTAGTTTTAACAATAAACTTAACATTTGTTAATCTTACTATTAAACTTAGGAAAATTCTCATGTGATGCCGCAAGAAAATTCTCATTTGATGCTACCATGTTAATGTCAGAGTATTTTAACTCTTAATATTTGATGAACTTACTATTAAACTTAAGGAAAAATCTTATTCTAAACTACAATTTTTGTAGGTTTCAAAAAAAACTACAATAGTTCTAACAATAAATAAGGATTAAAAAATTCTAAAATTAACACATGGGTATCACCGTATCACATGAACATATTCCCGGATAAATTCTCAAATTTACATAATTGATGGTATTTGTGTGCAAATCTTAGAACGTACAAGTGAGCGTACAATTACTTTAAGTTTAAGTGCAATTAAGCCATATCTATTCACAGGCAAAGGCGAATAGAAGTTTCTACACGTTTTATCAATCCATGAACAGGATAATGGATAGGTTAGATGCATACATTACCGTACAGGAATAACCAATAAAAACCCAAAAATGTATCAAGATTGGTTGAACTTGCATCACAAATATTAGTGACAAAACATTCAGTATTTTACATGCCAAGCCTGAGCTGTTCAGATTCATCTCTGTTCAACACGCAAGAACAGAATGTAACCTGAAGTTAACACAAGTAAGGTCAAGTTATATTACATGTTTTCTTCAAGCAAGCTGAGCTTCTGTGTATAAACTTTACAGGAACATTTTTGACATACAGACAGGCACAAATGTCCCATGAAACCATGGAATCCCGCAAATCAAACCTTTGAGAATTCCCAGTCACCAATAACGAGTTCACCGATGAATATATTTAAATCCATCCAAATCACCTTACGATAAGAAATTCAATCTCGGTTCTAAGCCCACATTAATGTCAACCCGACGAAGAGGAGAAGAGCCAGTCCAAAACACATCCCTGCAATGGCTGCGAATGCCTGAAGGGGAGGAAACAGTCTTCAAGACGGAAGAAGTGAAGTTACAAGGATACCTGCCCCCATGAAACTTAAAGTGTTTTACCTTTCCTTTAGACTCGAAATTGAACTTGATCGTGAACCAAGACAAGCCTTTATCTACAAATGGAGCTAGTGCAAGAGCCCTACAGATCAAGTATGCACAAAAAGATATTACAATAACCAATGATATCATTTAACGTTTATTGTTTTAATACCTTTTACTAAATAATAAGAGGAAAAGGGATATTCTATCTCCATTCTCCATCCATGATATTACCAAATTTAAAGAAATTATTTTATTGTTGCTTCTGAGCTGTTCCGATAACTGGTGAGTAGCCTTGATACAAGATAATTTGTAGGCTCCTCTATTGTGAAGTATTTTGTTGTTTGATTCTATGTGTCAATGGTTGATGGCCATTTGGGCCCTCCTTGATGAGGGCTTCCAGATTTAAAAGGAAATAGTACAAAATCATCTCTATTTGATGGAGCGTGGTAGATCTACACAGTGTCCAGTGATGTCACAAGAGACACTAGATTGCAATACCCTAGTTGACAAGTCACTCCAGATAATTTGGGGCTCGCAAATATACTAAGACGACATACATGGGGAAACCACTGGGGGAAAAAACCAGATTCCACAACTGTTGATGGATGAAGTCCAAAAGGCTTAGTTGATGATGGTGCGGGTCATGCCATATGCAATCTTGAAAGACATTCTCTTTGGCAAACAGATTATCTTTCTAAAATGGGCATATATAGAACTTTCCAATAAGTTGTGCAATATATACATGAACGTACAATTACCCTCGTATTTTTTCCCCAACGAAAACCTAACTCTATGAAGTACATCTCTTAGTTGAGATGGATACTACAAAGTAACAAGCAAATTCTTTTGGCCAATTGTAAACCAACTAGCAGCCTGTATCAGCTATGTCAAGTTCTTTGTAAATGGGGAAAAGGACCTCATTTACCAATTAAGCATTAACTGCAAACAACTTGGAAACATTAATGACAATATGCCCTATTAATAGAAAACTAGTGATGGATATATAACAGTGAAAATAACTGGAGTTTTGAGAGCTAACCCTCCAGCTCGGATTATTTTCGTGACCTGGCTACCAGCCCACACCATTGCCATTACTTTAAGGAATCTGTTTAAGCAGGGTTTCAAGAGAAACAATGTCAACACTTTAATGAAATGTAGTTAAGTATGATAGCCTAGAAAAAATATTGAGGTTACCTTTCAACAGCTGCAGCATAGCCCATTCTTCCAGGAGCTGGAGCAAAATAAAACCTTAAACAAAACAAAAGGAATGCAAAATTCTTTTGAAATACTCTTCTAGAATGGATTGGAACTCCAATGGCACGCTGCAATTACATAGATGCACTGATATGCACGTGTGAAAGATACAAGGGACAAAGCAAATGATGCAAAACTAAGGCAATTATTGCATATGTTAATACCAAATGATGGTGTTTTAACAGTATACCAACTTTAAAAAGATAGCACCAAATCCACTTAATCATGCAAAAGTACCTTTCTTCCAGCTAATCCGTAAGCTAGAACAGCTCCTAAAAATGGGTATGAATTAGCAACTAGTATCCAGTATCCATTTACACACACGCACACTATATATATAATGTACATCACATAGGGGATGTGTGTGTGTGTGTATATGCACACACCCCTACATCATGTATATTCTCCAAAATCCTTTTAAGCTACACAAAAGTTTTGGAGTTGCCATGAGGGTTGATGGTTATGATTTTGTACTCTAATATGCACCACAGATTGAGCGTCCTTTCATGGGCTGAAACTTGGACTCATGCGCCATTACTTTTTTTAATTCATCTTAAATGTGTGAACACTAGGATTCGAAGCAGATTAGTTCTGGTAACATCTTACAATTCTCTTCCACGATACCAACTCTAGACATTGAGAATAATATAAGGGGTTGTTTAGTATGCTGCAAAAATAAATTGCAGCATATGTTGCATGAACTCAACTTCAAACCCGATGTTTGGATATTTGCAATCATATTGTAGGAAATGTATTTCCAAATTCAAATTTAGTGTTTGGTTAAAAAACAATTAAGGCAATAGCTACGAAATTTAGTCATAAAAGAAAACTTGGGTAAATGGTTTTCCTACTTGGATTTAAAAAGATTTTTTTGATGAGGTGGAATTATTTTTATTTTTTAATTCTCTTTTTTTGAAGCTGCAGCTTTTCCTCCCACCAAATTGGCCTTAGCATTTGCTGTAATTTTTCTCTACAAACATAAGTCCATCTACCATTTCCTAATTACAAAGTTGTAAGCCAATCAATGTATTTACAAATCCAATTGCTCTATTTATACTTGCAACTATGTTTCAATCCAACCAAACAACCCCTAAATATAAGTTTAAATCTCAAATTGTGTTATGACTAGAATTTAAAAAGATATATTCAATAGAAATAACCCAAAACTTGTTCGGTATAGCTAATGAAGATTCTCACTCATTAAAATTATACCCTCAAGTTCATTAGATGACATTATACATGGAAATCAAAATCATATTAAAAATTATAAAACATAAAAAATACAAAAAGAGAGAATAATAACCTCTTCTTCATCAAGCAAATTATGAGTATCACGATGAATTACCCTCTTACAAGAACACAATTTTAGTGGTTTTGTTGTTGTTTAAGTTGCAATTCCTTTCCATATGTAATCATTTTTTCACTACCTTTTACCTTTGCAATATCAGGTGATTGAATATCCATATTCTGAGGTAATTCAATTCCTTATTGTATAGCTTGTGAATAGTCTAATGCATTTTCTTCGTAGTATTGGGATCAAGTTTTTTCTGCTAATAAACACATGACACACCTCTTGCGAAAAAGTCAAGTTCGCAATTTTATAAACATCACATGATAACTTCGTGACACCTAAATCTTATGTTTTAGCATAACTTCCTTGACTTTTCAAGCCATCATAATGATGAATTGTTTTATTTGTTATTAATGCAATTCATCTTTTCGAATATAATAACAAAATGGCAAAGAATCAACAATTCCATTTTGTAATACTATAAGGATATGTTTAATAGGATATCTTCAATTTCAAGTTTATTACAGCTGCGTAGTGCACCTTCTTGTCATCCTCTATGAATTACTTAGTAGTTATCTTTATATCTATTGATTTCCCAACCTTTTTGACGATTTATTTTCATGCAATTTCATCATCTGCTTTCATTAGGCATTCATGTCTCAAACTTTATACAATTCCTTCTTGAAAGAGGAAGAACTTGTTCTCTTGTGTAAAAGTTCAACATCTTTCTATTTCTAATTTTTTGTCCAGCTCAATTGTTGCTTATTTAAAGGATTTTATAGATAGTTGCCAACTCATTTTGTCTTTGGTTTGCAATAGATCATTCAAATGCAACAAGCTCAGTTAAAGTACAGAACATTTACATATCAATATAAGCATTGTTCATGCTTTCCAATCTCTGTGTTGTATGAAATTTAGTTAAATTTAGTTACCAAGATATTCTTTGCAAAAGTTGGTATCGGTTTTTGATGAACCTTGTACATACAAGACGATCATGATTATCTAATTCACGCGTTTAATCTTTTCATTTTGGCTCTCAAACTTTTGAGGAGTTTCTGAATTACAAACACACTTTGGTTTATAACAATAAACCCACTCTTGAAAGCTATTGCACCCTACGTTACCTGGACTCGGGTATGAGTATCCAATACGGGTGCTGATCCGAGTGTCCGATACGAAATTTCTAAAAATTTTGGATAAGGGGACACTGTCCTAAATTTCGACACAGGTACGGGAATACACTTTTAATAATAGTTTAATTTATTTAATGAAGTACAACTAATTAAATTTCATTCCTCTATCCCGTATACACTTTTACTTGCTTCAAATATTTATTGTAAAACCCAAACCCAAACCCAAAAATCCAAACCCACAAACCCAAACCCAAAGCCCAAACCCACAAACCCAAACCCAAACCCAAAACCCAAAACATAAAACCCAAACTAAAGTAAACTATGTAAAACTAATTCTCACTCACCCGAAACCGCCACGAAATTTCCATCGACCCGTTCTGTTCCTCGTCGAAGCTCGAACTATTCGAAACCTCTCGGATCCTAGTCTTCGATCTCGTCTTCTACCTCCGAGCTCGTCTTCAACCTCTGTCAAACAGTCGAAGCTTCGTCTTCAACCTCCGAGCTTCGTCTTTAACCTCCGTTCTGTTCCTCGTCGAAGCAGGAACTCGTCGAAGCCACCTCCACCTCCTCCATCGACGATGACGAGCCATCTCCTCACCCTCCTTCGTCGACGACGAGCAGCCGCAGCCCCACCGTATCCGAGTGCCAGCCACAGTATCTGACCCGTATTTCATACCCGGATCGGTGTCGGGTCGTATCGACGCCGGTACGACGGTCAAACCACCTTGTCCGAGTAACATAGATTGCACCAAGTTTACTTGTAAGTTCTTAAAATGCGCTACATGCATTACCTATGAACAGATTAAGAAAACATGTCTTGAATTGCAGCACTAATGGAAAAATATTGCTTAGCTAGGTGGGTGGCCAAAAGTTACTTTTTTCATTTCTTAAACAGTTAATAAAAGAAATTCTTTTCATCTATTAATCAAGTTCCAAAAATTAACAAATTGTTATGGTGATCAGCTCTGGTAAAGAGAAAACATCATATGATATTGATTTATATCGCTATGAAAGATTAACACATCGCCAAAATGATGATATGCTTTCCTTGCAAGAACAGCGGCCCAAAACACAACTGCCAATTTCTACTAGTGCCTTCCTTTTAAGTGTAATAGGAAGGTGTTATATCTTTCACACGTTTAAGATTCCATTAAGAACTAGGCAACATCAGTGTTCTTCTCTTCTATCCCATTTTACAAAGCATTACAAATATCTCTTTTGGTGCAAATAATATGACTAAAATCTCCAGTCTCTACATTTGAACCAGCATAAATTCTAATGCCCTTAAGTTTGCTTCTTTAAATGTGTTATGAAGACTTTTTTTGTTCTTGAGTGTCTATTCAATTGCTCCTTAGAAATTTTTGCTTTCTTAGAGTAATGCATGGATGATTGTGAACTTCAAAACACCTACAAATTGACCGCCATCCATCTGGTTTCTTAAAATCTTAAATCGTATAAACAATTTTCTATTGTATTTTGTCTTTTAAGCTACCAACATAAATAGGGCTGATAGAGAGGAGGGGGATGGGCATGTGGAATGGTTGTACAACACGAGAGAGGCAACAAGGATGTGATCAATATAGTCAATAAAAATCATAGCATTTGTAATAACTATTCTAACTATAATTCTTTTTTTGTAGGCTTTCATGTCCGGAGATGGAAGTTATTGAAGGAGAGCAAATGATAGAACCGTTTGAGGATTTGAAAAAGGCGCCAGGAAGATTTTTGCAATAAAGAGAAAGAAAGTAAAGGGAGAAGAAGAGGTGGATAGGCAGAAAGAGCACTGAGAAGAGAGAAACGGACAAACTCGAAGCAGGAACAGCAAATTATGTAGAGAGACGTGAAGAACTAGGGCCCATCACATATCACTTTAAAGATTTTAGCTAAAGAATTTTATCTATATATATATATATATATATATATATATATATATATATATATATATATATATATATATATATATATATATATATATATATTATTATACGAGAAAAATTGTCATTTCGGTCACCAAGCCCATAAAAATTGTGCCTTGGTAGTTGGTTGGCATATCCCTCCACTCATTCAAATGGTTGGCCAGTTATCTCACTGCCTCTCAACCTTGCGAATGTGGTCCCATTAAATGGTGAAAGGGATTGTGCAACCTCACTACCAAGCCACAAATTTATGTTGGTTACCAAGCCATACCATATATATATATAATATATATATATATATATATATATATATATATGGGAAAAGTGATTCTAAGGTGACACCTTAGATTCCCACCTAAGGACGCGGCCTAAAATCACATCATTCCCTAATTGTTTTTTCTGATCCGCTCCGTTGAACTTGATCTACACGTTCTTAAACCTAAACACACCAATTTTGGGGTGAGCCCGTCATGTTTTGACCCTTCGTTGAGCCGTGCAAAAAGTTCTATTCATTCGAAACCGTGCGGCGAGTGGATGAAGGGTCAAAACACGACGGGCTCACCCCAAAATTGGTGTGTTTAGGTTTAAGAACGTGTATATCAAGTTTAACGGAGCGGATCGGAAAAAACAATTAGGGAATGATGTGATTTTAGGCCGCGTCCTTGGGTGGGTATCTAAGGTGTCACCTTAGAATCACTTTATATATATATATATATATATAGTAATTAGCTCAAAAGCATGACAATCACAAGAGAAAATTGCTTAGCCAGTAGAAGATTTCAAGTGGACCCATATAGAAAGTGGTTGGTTTGAAAGTTTTAAGCTCATGCACATCTATGTGTCACCTGAAGAAAGCAACAATTTAATGGAATTATAGAACAGTCACTAGAGTATAGAAAATTCTCCTTTAACACATTTAAAGATTTAAGGACATTAGAATATATCGGTTTTAAAGATATAGTGGAGGTTATAGTGATATTGTTTGCATCAAAAGAGATAATTCGACACACTTTATAAAAAGAGAGGGAAGAGAAGAAAGCTTGTTATGCACAGTTGTTAATGAACAATTTAAAGGAGAAGAAAGAGATAAATTTTTAATTCTATTACATTTATAAAGTGGACATTGATAATAATTTGATATATGTGTTTTGGCTAGATGGTCTTGCAGGTAAAGTATATCCTTATCTTTACCGATGTTTTAATCTTTTTATATAACATACAGTACAAATCAATATCAACTGGTATTTTCTTCCTTTTCTAGAGTTAAATCATCACCGATGATGTGTTTATATTGGACATTGACTCATAAAATATGAAAAATTGATTCTTATATTTGGTTGTTTGAGAAATGACAGAAACAACATGTGGTCATCCACCTAATGTGATTATAACTGATCAAAAAATTTCACTGATATTGCAATTTAGGAGATATTTTCTAAATCTATTCATACATCTCGCATGTAACACATTCTATAGAAACTTACAGACAAACTTGTTGCAATAGCTTTCAATAGTCAGTTTATCATTTCAGTTCAATGTGTTTGGAACTAAGAGACTCCTCAAGAGTTTGAGCTAAGAGTAGATTTACATGATAATAAATTAGATAATCATGATTGGCTTTTTGACATGTACAAGGCTCGTAAAAAATGAACTGCAATTTATTCAAAGAATATCTTTAGAGCTGAATTCGTCAAACTCGAAGATTGGAGAGCATGAATGATAATATTGATAAGTATGTAAATAATATGAATACTCTAGTCGAGTTTATTGCACGTTTTGGAAGAGCTATTAGAAAACAAAGAGAAAACAAGTTGGTAGCAAACTACGAAACGATTAATAATAAGCAACAATTGAATATGATATTGGAAACTAAAAAGATGTTGAAGATTTTTATACAAGAGAATCCTACATTTTTCACGAAGAAATGTTCAAAATGTGAGATGTGAATTGTTAATGAGGAAAAAAATGGAATTGTGTGCAAATATTTTGTCAAAAAAGTTCAATGGACACAAAGGGAACCTATGAAATAATTTCTAGAGGGCACAAGAAAATGCAATATGCAGTTCTGAGAAACTTGAAACAAAAAGTATCTCTTAAAGGCATATCCTTGTGGCATTACGAAACAAATTAATTGATTTATTTCCATTTTATTCTATTTTGAAAAATGAACTGCATTAGTAACAAGTGAAATAATTCATGATAATAACTGATTTGAAAATTCAAGAAAATTGTGGTAAAGCACACAATTTAGACTTTACTGAGTCGTCAGATAATATTCATAAATTTGTGAATATGGCTCGCTCTTCGGAGATGTGTATTAGCAAAAAATTTCATTTAAAATCCTACCAAGAAAGCGCAAAGCTTAATGTACAAAAAATGAAACTACAAAAGAAAAAAATTGACTGAAATATATTCATCCACCCAATTGCAAAGACAAAAGGTGGTGAAAAAAAATAGAGGAAAGATAATTGCAATGGAAATAGCAGCAAAAGCGCCAAGATTATGTCATTGCAAGAAGATGGTACATTGGTGATAATTGCCTAACGAAAGATAGATTATATTCTCTCGCACTCTGTGTTTGATTTATTTCATACTTTATACTTTATATATTTGTCACTATGAATTCCAATTTTCATGCATACTTTTAACGAGTCGCTTTTTTTGTGGCCTTACTGAACAAGTGAACTGGTTCAAAGGAAAAAACAATGGTCTAATGTTTTTATTTATTAAATCTTTTAGACTATTTCTACATAATTCTCTTTAAATTCAAGTTGTAACACATCTGAGATTTAAACTTATTTGTAATGCTGTTCTCAATGCCTAATGCAGGATGTATGATGGATTTGATGGATATGTACACACACAAGGTAACAAGCAGACAAAACAATATATTAAAAAAGGAAAAATAATAACTTATAAACATTGAAGTTACACTAAAACTCACCAGACTAGAAGAAATGTTGCCAGATAATACATGGTATTAAGTAACCCATAGGATAGTACTCCTGCAATTCCGTATCTCTTTAAGTCTTGCACCAATCTACAAAGCAAGAAATAAGCAAAATCAATCTGAAAAAAATTCGAGAGGGGATCTAAAACCCAGCTAGTTTAGGTTCCTGTAACACCATATAGTCTTATGGAATTTATAGTTTACATTATAGTTTGTACAAGACTATAAGTTCAATAATGCATGGCATAAGTCCATGCACAAGACTTATCTGCATCGCAAAATTGCTTTGTGCGAAATTACGTTGGATGAAGGGAATGGACATTGAGCAATTAATGCATGGTTTAGCTAAAATTCGGTATAACTTTCACCGAGAAATAAAGGTCTTACATTGGGAGAAAACTGTAATAGCCACTACCGGATTGAACTTTTAATTGACACTAGTGCGGTGAATTTGCACAAACTCAAAACAACCCATTAAACATCGCATGCAGGCGGCTAGCTACTCAACAAGTGCATTCATATTAACTTTTGAGAAACAAAATCTAGCAATTCTACCTAAGAATCCAATATTAGGCATCAGCAAGTAGAAAGTATAGTACTCTTTAGGCGAAAAATTTTTCGCAGTTTTCTTTCCACTATCACTCTCCAAACCTTCAAAAAGAAAAAAAAAGTAATAAATTAGTTCTAGAAAAAGATCTAAAATTGTTATAAAACACAACAATTAACAGAATTAAACAATTACCATGGGGATCAGTAGAGCATTCATCCAAATTCTCAACGTGATTGACCTGAAACTAAACCAGTTAGTTACATAAAGATCTCAACTTTAAATAAATTGAAGGATTCTAAGAGTTAAATTACCTCTCTTTCATCATCCTTCGCTTTGAGATAAATCGAAGCCCTAGGTTTGTGTTGAACGCAAATCCAAACCCTAGAGACGCTCCATCGAAAAAATTGGCTCGATTCGTTCGGGTTTGAGAGGAAACAGTGAACCGCCCTTAGGCCGAACGCAGGTGACGGGATCCGTTGGGCGGTGAGCGGAACCAGCGCCGATGACATCTGGACGAAGCGGACGCCGATCGAGGAGAGAGATGGCGGGATTGGAGGCGTCGAGATTTCTTTTATCACGTGATACGCGCGTGAAATGATATTTTTTTGGTGCATGCCTTTTTGGCCTTTCCCCCCTTTAAATTATAATAATTCAAATTGTAATTAGCAATTTGCTAATCATATTTAATCATATTTTATGGTCTATTTCCAAACACAAATGAATAGAATTAGAGGAAGTTGTTATTCCTTGATCTTCTTGGTGGAAACAAAAAGAGGACATAATGAAATAAAAAAATGTAATTCATCTTTGGTTAGTGTATCTCCATTAGATGTTCCTATTAAATATTCCCCTATCTAATTTAGCTTTGAATTTTTATCTAAACTATTCAACTCTGTTAAATGTTGTATACATGTGTATGTGTTGGCGGCGTTTATATGACATGATTTTCATTTAAAAAGCAACACAACGCGTGTCAAATTATTAATTGGCTATTTGCATTTGGATTGTTTTGTCCCGGAAAAAAAAACCGCTTCAAGCCATTTGTCAAAATGTTTGATGTCCTAAAAGAAGCACTTTTAATCATCTGCGCCTATTTTGCGTGTTTTCCACGTGCTATAAAGTAAACGATTGTGCAATTTAACGGGTCACCTAGACAATAAATGTATTTCTAAGACATTTTCCATCACAAAATAAAATTTGTTTCTTGGAGACTATCTTTGTACCCTATTTAATTTTAAATTAAGTGACTTAAATGTAATTCACACGAAATTGATTAGTTTAAGTTCTTTGAATAGATGGTGTAAGATAACTACTTTAGAAATAAATATATATTTTATATGGCTTATTTATTCTTGTAGAGAAAATGGCTTAAACTGTCTGAGAAAAAGAAAAGTGCACCTCAATCGGTATCTAGGTAGAAATAATGTAGAGACAGAAGGAAATCAAAGAATGAGATTGGATTTTCCCTTACTCTTTTTCCTCTTCTTTTCATGAGTTATTTAATAAATAAAAAAAGACAACTATTTTGAAATGTATAAGGATTTGCTCAGGTCTACCATAGTTAAAATTTTAAAATTTTAGACAATAAATAGTTAAGAAATATAAATGCACTTATGCCACGTGGCAACTTCTCTCACTTGTCCATATATCACTGTATCTTTTATTTATATCCTTTCCATCTAAAAAGAAACCGCATAGCTTGAACTCTTTCTGCCTCTTTCATCCCAAATCATTTCAATTGGCCCCCATGGAGGACTGCATGCTTGATTTCTTTCCTAATGGTCTACATGTTATGATTATTGATAAAGATCCAATATTTCTTAAAACAATCCAAGAAATTCTCTTGTCTTCTCACTACAAAGGTATGTTTGATTATCTCACATTTTAGTTGTAATTTTAGACACCATAAGGATCAACATTTAGATTGTTTGTATTCATCACTATATATCATGCTTGTTAAATTATCATGGTAAGGAAAATCGAGATGTAATTTAACTAGCTTTTGTGATTACCTATCAATATTTACTGGTGCCCTTTTAATATGGTCTCATGTTAAAAGTTTCCAAGCTGGGCAGCACTGTTAAGTGTACTGGAGTACTATAAGAGCTTAAAATGATAATACATAAAGGATCATGTCAATAAGAATTCTGATGTACTACTTTTATCATTTCAAATTTTCTTGTAGTTACAACTTGCTTTGATCCAAATGTTGCGCTATCGCTCCTTCAAGAGAAAGCAGAGGAATTTGATCTTGTCGTCGCGGAATCTCACATGCCTGAGATGAGCGGATTCGTGCTGCTTCGGACTGTCAAAACCGAGTTCAACATTCCTGTTATATGTAAGCAACGACGAATTATTGGTTTTACTTTCAGTTTGGATAAATTACAAGCAATCCCCTCCATCTGTACTTGGTTTTTTCCCCCCCGAGAGATCCCCTTTCACTTAAAAGTTCAACAAAAGACACTCTCGTCTATGATCGGTAACGAATTAGTTTTGTTAATAGAGTTTGCTGTTAGATCTACATCATAAAACTTGAGATCTAAAACCATATAGCCATGATTAATTCAAAGAGATTAACAAAATCAAAAAAAGAGCGGAAGCTTATACCTGGAAGGTTTGATTACCCGATTTGGAAGTGGACCTCTCGTTCATTGGGAGAATCGAGAGGAGATTTTGGCTGTGGCCCTAATCGTATGAATGTTTGACCAAGCAGGAGTTTGAGACGACCTAACTGTCGGAAAGTTTGATCGCTCGATTTGAAGGTGGACCTCTCGTTCATTGGAGGAATCGAGAGGGGATTTTGGCTTTGGCCCTAACTTTTATAGGTTTGACCAGAAAGCGAAGAGAGTGGAATACGAGTAGCAAAGAAAATGCCAACTCGTATTATCACTCAAGAGGAGGCTTTAATGCTAGGACCTAGCACGTTAAGTCTGAGAAATGCCAACAATGGGCAAATGGAAACGTTGGTGGATCCACTGTCGTTTAATTTGATCAGCGGATGGTTTGGTGAGAAAAGATTAACCTACCAGAAGATTGGATCTCATCTCACAAAAACGACTCATAAGAGTTAGAGAATGAGAAGAGACATTCCGGCCTTCTGAGTTCGAACGTGAATTTCTTATTCACCAATTCCACAATGATTGGGTTATCCCTAAGAATACCCATGTGGTATTCTTTCGGGAACTTCCCGATGCATTGGATAATCCACCCCCAGTTTCTCTCTTGGAACTGGGTTTGACTTGGTTGTCCGAGGGTTATCCTTAAGAATAGTGTAATAATATCCTCCAGGAACTTCCCGTAAATGGTAGGAAATAGTTTAGACTCATATACCTATTGGAGTATCAGGGAGCAGTTTAACCTCTTATACCGGTCGGAGGTTTAAGAAGCAGTTTATACTCTTATACTTATCGGAGTATTGAGGAACAGTTTATACTCTTGTACCGTCTGAAGTACGAACGCGAGGTTCGTCTGAAGTACGAACGCGAGGTTCGTCTGAAGTACGAACGCGAGGTTCGTCTGAAGTACGAACGCGAGGTTCGTCTGAAGTACGAACGCGAGGTTCGTCTGAAGTACGAACGCGAGGTTCGTCTGAAGTACGAACGCGAGGTTCGTCTGAAGTACGAACGCGAGGTTCGTCTGAAGTACGAACGCGAGGTTCGTCTGAAGTACGAACGCGAGGTTCGTCTGAAGTACGAACGCGAGGTTCGTCTGAAGTACGAACGCGAGGTTCGTCTGAAGTACGAACGCGAGGTTCGTCTGAAGTACGAACGCGAGGTTCGTCTGAAGTACGAACGCGAGGTTCGTCTGAAGTACGAACGCGAGGTTCGTCTGAAGTACGAACGCGAGGTTCGTCTGAAGTACGAACGCGAGGTTCGTCTGAAGTACGAACGCGAGGTTCGTCTGAAGTACGAACGCGAGGTTCGTCTGAAGTACGAACGCGAGGTTCGTCTGAAGTACGAACGCGAGGTTCGTCTGAAGTACGAACGCGAGGTTCGTCTGAAGTACGAACGCGAGGTTCGTCTGAAGTACGAACGCGAGGTTCGTCTGAAGTACGAACGCGAGGTTCGTCTGAAGTACGAACGCGAGGTTCGTCTGAAGTACGAACGCGAGGTTCGTCTGAAGTACGAACGCGAGGTTCGTCTGAAGTACGAACGCGAGGTTCGTCTGAAGTACGAACGCGAGGTTCGTCTGAAGTACGAACGCGAGGTTCGTCTGAAGTACGAACGCGAGGTTCGTCTGAAGTACGAACGCGAGGTTCGTCTGAAGTACGAACGCGAGGTTCGTCTGAAGTACGAACGCGAGGTTCGTCTGAAGTACGAACGCGAGGTTCGTCTGAAGTACGAACGCGAGGTTCGTCTGAAGTACGAACGCGAGGTTCGTCTGAAGTACGAACGCGAGGTTCGTCTGAAGTACGAACGCGAGGTTCGTCTGAAGTACGAACGCGAGGTTCGTCTGAAGTACGAACGCGAGGTTCGTCTGAAGTACGAACGCGAGGTTCGTCTGAAGTACGAACGCGAGGTTCGTCTGAAGTACGAACGCGAGGTTCGTCTGAAGTACGAACGCGAGGTTCGTCTGAAGTACGAACGCGAGGTTCGTCTGAAGTACGAACGCGAGGTTCGTCTGAAGTACGAACGCGAGGTTCGTCTGAAGTACGAACGCGAGGTTCGTCTGAAGTACGAACGCGAGGTTCGTCTGAAGTACGAACGCGAGGTTCGTCTGAAGTACGAACGCGAGGTTCGTCTGAAGTACGAACGCGAGGTTCGTCTGAAGTACGAACGCGAGGTTCGTCTGAAGTACGAACGCGAGGTTCGTCTGAAGTACGAACGCGAGGTTCGTCTGAAGTACGAACGCGAGGTTCGTCTGAAGTACGAACGCGAGGTTCGTCTGAAGTACGAACGCGAGGTTCGTCTGAAGTACGAACGCGAGGTTCGTCTGAAGTACGAACGCGAGGTTCGTCTGAAGTACGAACGCGAGGTTCGTCTGAAGTACGAACGCGAGGTTCGTCTGAAGTACGAACGCGAGGTTCGTCTGAAGTACGAACGCGAGGTTCGTCTGAAGTACGAACGCGAGGTTCGTCTGAAGTACGAACGCGAGGTTCGTCTGAAGTACGAACGCGAGGTTCGTCTGAAGTACGAACGCGAGGTTCGTCTGAAGTACGAACGCGAGGTTCGTCTGAAGTACGAACGCGAGGTTCGTCTGAAGTACGAACGCGAGGTTCGTCTGAAGTACGAACGCGAGGTTCGTCTGAAGTACGAACGCGAGGTTCGTCTGAAGTACGAACGCGAGGTTCGTCTGAAGTACGAACGCGAGGTTCGTCTGAAGTACGAACGCGAGGTTCGTCTGAAGTACGAACGCGAGGTTCGTCTGAAGTACGAACGCGAGGTTCGTCTGAAGTACGAACGCGAGGTTCGTCTGAAGTACGAACGCGAGGTTCGTCTGAAGTACGAACGCGAGGTTCGTCTGAAGTACGAACGCGAGGTTCGTCTGAAGTACGAACGCGAGGTTCGTCTGAAGTACGAACGCGAGGTTCGTCTGAAGTACGAACGCGAGGTTCGTCTGAAGTACGAACGCGAGGTTCGTCTGAAGTACGAACGCGAGGTTCGTCTGAAGTACGAACGCGAGGTTCGTCTGAAGTACGAACGCGAGGTTCGTCTGAAGTACGAACGCGAGGTTCGTCTGAAGTACGAACGCGAGGTTCGTCTGAAGTACGAACGCGAGGTTCGTCTGAAGTACGAACGCGAGGTTCGTCTGAAGTACGAACGCGAGGTTCGTCTGAAGTACGAACGCGAGGTTCGTCTGAAGTACGAACGCGAGGTTCGTCTGAAGTACGAACGCGAGGTTCGTCTGAAGTACGAACGCGAGGTTCGTCTGAAGTACGAACGCGAGGTTCGTCTGAAGTACGAACGCGAGGTTCGTCTGAAGTACGAACGCGAGGTTCGTCTGAAGTACGAACGCGAGGTTCGTCTGAAGTACGAACGCGAGGTTCGTCTGAAGTACGAACGCGAGGTTCGTCTGAAGTACGAACGCGAGGTTCGTCTGAAGTACGAACGCGAGGTTCGTCTGAAGTACGAACGCGAGGTTCGTCTGAAGTACGAACGCGAGGTTCGTCTGAAGTACGAACGCGAGGTTCGTCTGAAGTACGAACGCGAGGTTCGTCTGAAGTACGAACGCGAGGTTCGTCTGAAGTACGAACGCGAGGTTCGTCTGAAGTACGAACGCGAGGTTCGTCTGAAGTACGAACGCGAGGTTCGTCTGAAGTACGAACGCGAGGTTCGTCTGAAGTACGAACGCGAGGTTCGTCTGAAGTACGAACGCGAGGTTCGTCTGAAGTACGAACGCGAGGTTCGTCTGAAGTACGAACGCGAGGTTCGTCTGAAGTACGAACGCGAGGTTCGTCTGAAGTACGAACGCGAGGTTCGTCTGAAGTACGAACGCGAGGTTCGTCTGAAGTACGAACGCGAGGTTCGTCTGAAGTACGAACGCGAGGTTCGTCTGAAGTACGAACGCGAGGTTCGTCTGAAGTACGAACGCGAGGTTCGTCTGAAGTACGAACGCGAGGTTCGTCTGAAGTACGAACGCGAGGTTCGTCTGAAGTACGAACGCGAGGTTCGTCTGAAGTACGAACGCGAGGTTCGTCTGAAGTACGAACGCGAGGTTCGTCTGAAGTACGAACGCGAGGTTCGTCTGAAGTACGAACGCGAGGTTCGTCTGAAGTACGAACGCGAGGTTCGTCTGAAGTACGAACGCGAGGTTCGTCTGAAGTACGAACGCGAGGTTCGTCTGAAGTACGAACGCGAGGTTCGTCTGAAGTACGAACGCGAGGTTCGTCTGAAGTACGAACGCGAGGTTCGTCTGAAGTACGAACGCGAGGTTCGTCTGAAGTACGAACGCGAGGTTCGTCTGAAGTACGAACGCGAGGTTCGTCTGAAGTACGAACGCGAGGTTCGTCTGAAGTACGAACGCGAGGTTCGTCTGAAGTACGAACGCGAGGTTCGTCTGAAGTACGAACGCGAGGTTCGTCTGAAGTACGAACGCGAGGTTCGTCTGAAGTACGAACGCGAGGTTCGTCTGAAGTACGAACGCGAGGTTCGTCTGAAGTACGAACGCGAGGTTCGTCTGAAGTACGAACGCGAGGTTCGTCTGAAGTACGAACGCGAGGTTCGTCTGAAGTACGAACGCGAGGTTCGTCTGAAGTACGAACGCGAGGTTCGTCTGAAGTACGAACGCGAGGTTCGTCTGAAGTACGAACGCGAGGTTCGTCTGAAGTACGAACGCGAGGTTCGTCTGAAGTACGAACGCGAGGTTCGTCTGAAGTACGAACGCGAGGTTCGTCTGAAGTACGAACGCGAGGTTCGTCTGAAGTACGAACGCGAGGTTCGTCTGAAGTACGAACGCGAGGTTCGTCTGAAGTACGAACGCGAGGTTCGTCTGAAGTACGAACGCGAGGTTCGTCTGAAGTACGAACGCGAGGTTCGTCTGAAGTACGAACGCGAGGTTCGTCTGAAGTACGAACGCGAGGTTCGTCTGAAGTACGAACGCGAGGTTCGTCTGAAGTACGAACGCGAGGTTCGTCTGAAGTACGAACGCGAGGTTCGTCTGAAGTACGAACGCGAGGTTCGTCTGAAGTACGAACGCGAGGTTCGTCTGAAGTACGAACGCGAGGTTCGTCTGAAGTACGAACGCGAGGTTCGTCTGAAGTACGAACGCGAGGTTCGTCTGAAGTACGAACGCGAGGTTCGTCTGAAGTACGAACGCGAGGTTCGTCTGAAGTACGAACGCGAGGTTCGTCTGAAGTACGAACGCGAGGTTCGTCTGAAGTACGAACGCGAGGTTCGTCTGAAGTACGAACGCGAGGTTCGTCTGAAGTACGAACGCGAGGTTCGTCTGAAGTACGAACGCGAGGTTCGTCTGAAGTACGAACGCGAGGTTCGTCTGAAGTACGAACGCGAGGTTCGTCTGAAGTACGAACGCGAGGTTCGTCTGAAGTACGAACGCGAGGTTCGTCTGAAGTACGAACGCGAGGTTCGTCTGAAGTACGAACGCGAGGTTCGTCTGAAGTACGAACGCGAGGTTCGTCTGAAGTACGAACGCGAGGTTCGTCTGAAGTACGAACGCGAGGTTCGTCTGAAGTACGAACGCGAGGTTCGTCTGAAGTACGAACGCGAGGTTCGTCTGAAGTACGAACGCGAGGTTCGTCTGAAGTACGAACGCGAGGTTCGTCTGAAGTACGAACGCGAGGTTCGTCTGAAGTACGAACGCGAGGTTCGTCTGAAGTACGAACGCGAGGTTCGTCTGAAGTACGAACGCGAGGTTCGTCTGAAGTACGAACGCGAGGTTCGTCTGAAGTACGAACGCGAGGTTCGTCTGAAGTACGAACGCGAGGTTCGTCTGAAGTACGAACGCGAGGTTCGTCTGAAGAACGAACGCGAGGTTCGTTAAAAAATTGAGCTTGACGCTCACCTGAGTTGAACGCGAGGTTCACCTTAGAACGAACGCGAGGTTCGTTAAAATTGAGCTTGACGCTCACCTGAGTTGAACGCGAGGTTCACCTTAGAACGAACGCGAGGTTCGTTAAAATTGAGCTTGACGCTCACCTGAGTTGAACGCGAGGTTCACCTTAGAACGAACGCGAGGTTCGTTAAAATTGAGCTTGACGCTCACCTGAGTTGAACGCGAGGTTCACCTTAGAACGAACGCGAGGTTCGTTGAGCGCGAAGCTCGGTTAAAATTGAACGAACGCGAGGTTCGTTTGAGGTAACCACCTCCTTAATTTTCGCCATGAACCCTTAGGGTTTCAAATTGAAACCGCCGCCGACAAACCCAAAAAACCTTTGATTTTTATTTTCAAAACAGATCCAGAATTGGAAAAAAAAATTGAAGGAAAAATCAAAGAAAAATCCAAAAAATTCCCAAAAGTTACTGTTCACCGGTGATTTTTCAATTACTGTTCATCCGAAAAAACCTTTACTGTTCATCCGAAAAAAATTCGTTACTGTTCATCCGAGAACATTACTGTTCATCCGAACCCAAAAATTGAATCTTTAACCAGAGATTTAAGATCAAAAACCCAATAAAACTTAAATCCCTAAGAATTAATCAAGGTGGCTCTGATACCATTTGTTAGATCTACATCATAAAACTTGAGATCTAAAACCATATAGCCATGATTAATTCAAAGAGATTAACAAAATCAAAAAAAGAGCGGAAGCTTATACCTGAATCCATTGCTTGATCTTGATTTTGGGTTTTGGATCTTCTAACCTTAGGGTTTTCTCTTTAGCCGAATTTCTCTCTTAAATGGGGGTGAAGAGAATTAGAGAATGTAACCCTAGGTTAGGGATCATAACCCCTTATTTATAGATGTTGTACTTTTGTAATTTAGCCCCTCAATAAATTACAATTACAACCTGGTATCTGCACATATGACCCCATGATCATTTAAATACCAAATTAACCCAACTTAATTGATCACTTCAGTGGGTTATCCTGAAAGATAGCAATACACAATGATTAATCATATGTGCCCACAAATAGATTTATTAGATTAAATCCAACATTTGCTTCTGCATGCTGTCGGCAGACGTCCGCATTCAGCATTCTAGGTTGCCAAATAGAAATATAGAATCACTTTATCTGAGAAACTACTTTTCTAACGTTATTTTTTTCAACTCCCAAATCTTCGAATTCTAAAGCAGAGACGAGTTTGTTCAGATGTCTATCCAAGTGTAGAATTTTGTCGATACGTCTGACGGAGAAACCCCCGTTCCAACATAATGGTTTCACTAACTGTCATAAATTAATGAGGGAATTTTTTCGTCGAACTTTTAGACGAGAGTGTTTCTTGAAAAATATGGTATAGATAAAGGGGATTTCTCAAAATTATCCTTTTTATTTTTATATTCATAAATCTTTTGTTTATTATCTTTGATTGCAGTGATGTCAGATAATTTGCAGAGGATTATCAGCACAAAAGCCATTGAACAAGGAGCATGCTACTTTTTGGAGAAGCCCTTAAAGATCAATGTCATCAAGAACATTTGGAAATATGTAACTTTGAAGGACGTCTCAAACAAAGGAGACATTACAATGTCAAACCAACAAGGACGAAAGAGAAAGACATCAAGAACTTCTGACCATGAACATGAAAGACCAAAGAAAAGGAAACATAATCAAGTTGAGGAAAAAGAAGATAACAACTACTCGAGGTTGAAGAAGAAACGTGTTATTTGGACTTCAGATCTAGAGGAAAAATTTCAAGATGCTATTAGGCTGCTAGGAATAGGTGAATTACTTTAAATTTTTGAAATGCATGTGGTCTTTTAATATTGATTATTAAAATTATTTTTGAATGCTATTCATATCTATTTTGTTTATCAGATGCCATTCCTAGTAAGATAACAAAGTTCATTAATGTCAAAGGTGTAAACAGAGATCATGTGGCAAGCCATCTTCAGGTATGAAATCAATCTCTATGTATTTACTATTCTCTGACAATATTTCATTTTGAGCATTTACATTGCATGTGGAACTTTTGTCTTGAGTGATAACTACCTCCTACTTGATTGCGCAGACGCACGAGCGCGCGCACATGCGCACACACGTATGCTATATGGACATTCTGAGCTACATCTTATCAGATAAATTGAATTAATAATAATGTCATTCAATAGAAGATAATTTACCTATTTTTAGTATCATCTTTCTTTTCTTAAAAGAGACTCGTAACGTCACATTTATATTTTTGCTAAATTTACATCATACTAGAGATGTTCAAATAGAACGCTATCTTCATTTTGATTTTGGATGCATAACGCTTAGAGCAGTTCCAATTTATTTATATATTGTAAAATTTACTTTAAACCCACCTCATACCGGGTACCATCACATTAAACATGTACATGTAAAGGTATTCTCTCTCCTTTTCCCTCTTCTCTAGATTTCCTCTCTTATCTAGAAGGCGTGAGAATGTAAAAAATCCTATAGGGTATATGACAACTGCTTCTCATGCAGGGATGGGGGAGGGGGTGACACCTTGCTATCGTGTGGTTGGTGTTGCATGACGGAATGGGGAGGGGTTTTTCCCCTTTCAACACTATGTTGGTAATTTAACGCCTAAATCCCTAATGCAACAGAAACGCAGAATAGAAAAAGTACACAAGATATAACGAGGTTCGGCAACTGCCAACGTCCTTGGGAGCCACACAGTCAATTTCTTATTAATCAAACAAGAAATTACAAATCAAGAGCAAATCCCAAAACTGAGATTTCTCAAATGAATACTGTAGCTACAGTGTTAATAATTAAAGGAAAAAATCCCTTTTAAATCTCTCTTGAGAATAAATGAAGTCCCACAATAAAAAACCCTTCTTTAATGATCTCTCTCTCTCTCTTCTTAAATCTCTTTTTAAATCTCCCCTCAAAGTTTTGTTGAGAGCTGGAGATGTGAAAATCGCTGCTGCGATTTTAGGGCAGTCCGCCGCCGCCAGAAGAAAAAAAAAATCGGAGGGGGAAAAAGCAGCAAAACCCTAGGGCATTGGGGTTGCTTTTATTCAATGGTGGGAGCGTCAAGACGCGAGCGTCGATCTTGGACGCGAGGGTCGGGATTTTCAGCCGCGAGCGTCCCGCTTAGATGCCAAGGTCGGAATCCCCAAACGCGAGGGTCGGGGCGCTGGCATGCGGAGCTCGAGCTTCACCTGAAGCTTTCGCCGTCGACTTCCACGCTCATCTGCGCGGTTCCTCAAGCTCGCCGGAGCTTCGTCGCCGACAGGAGGTTGGTATCCACCCCCTAAACTAACAATCTCCCACCATGGAGACCAAACCGACGTCAATAATCTATCCCATCAAGCTCCTTTCTTGTGTGGCTCCGCCCTCATCATCTATGCATGAAGGCCAACTGAAGTTGCGCACAACTCCAGTTTCTGAACTGTCACCGTCTTTGTTAACATGTCTGCTGGATTCTTACTTCTTGGAATCTTTTTCAGTTTCAACACGTCATCTTCCAACAGGGATCTGATGAAGTGGTACCGAAACGCAATATGCTTCGTTCTAGAATAAAATGCGGAATTCTTAGCCAATTGAATCGCACTTTGACTATCGCTATGCAAAACATTCTTCTCCTGTTTGAATCCCAGCTCTGTCAACAAATCCTGAAGCCATATCATCTCTTTATTGGCTTCAGTCACTGTAACATACTCAACCTGTGACATCCAACTAACAGCTGTAGTTCCAACGGTGAATACATAGTCGGTGGTGCTTCTTCGGTGATCAACTTCGCCGCCGAAGTCTGCATCTACGTACCCTTGCACTTCTACCTCTCCCTTACCAAAGTGCAAACACTTCTGTGTAGTACCTCGTAGATATCTCAGAATCCACTTGACCGCTTCCCCATGAGCTTTTCCTAGATTCGACATAAACCGGCTGACCACTCCCACTGCATGGCCAATATCTGGTCTCGTACAGACCATTGCGTACATCAAACTTCCGATAGCTGAGGCGTAAGGAACCTGAGCCATACTCTCTTTCTCTTCTTCTGACTGAGGAGACTGATCCTTCGATAGACGAAAGTGGCTGGGCCAGGGGGCAGGCTTGGCGTTGCCCATGTTAAATCTCTGCAAAACACGGTTGATGTACTCCGTCTGAGATAACTGCAAGATACCTCTCTTCTTATCTCTCGTGATTTGCATTCTAAGGATCTTCTTCGTTGGACCCAAGTCCTTCATGTCAAACTCCTTTGGCAGCTGCTGCTTCAAACTCTTGATATCCTTCATATCTGCTCCTGCAACCAACATATCATCAACATACAGCAGTATGATGATATAGCTGGACTGATATCTTTTGAAATAGTAACAGTGGTCGGCGTTGCACTTCTGGAAACCTTCCTTGTGCATAAAGCCGTCAAACTTCTTGTACCACTGCCTTGGGGCTTGTTTCAGGCAATACAAGCTCTTCTTGAGTCTGCACACCAGGTTCTTCTTTTTTTCTTCTGAGAAACCTTCTGGCTGGTGCATGTATATCTTCTCTTCTAGATCTCCGTGAAGAAACGCCGTATTCACGTCTAACTGCTCGAGATGAAGATCTTCAATTGCTACAATACTCATCACGTTCCTGATAGTATTTAGCTTTACCACGGGAGCGAAAATATCGGTGTAGTCAATTCCTTCCTTTTGCTGGAAACCTTTGACAACCAGTCGGGCTTTATATCTTCGATCTGGAACCATCCTGCTCCTCTTTCACCCGATACACCCATTTATTGTGGAGTGCCTTCTTTCTCGTAGGCAACTCTGCTAGTTCCCACGTCTGGTTTGAGATGAGAGACTTCATCTCATCTTTCATGGCAAGCTCCCACTTGCTCGCATCTCCATACTGACAAGCTTCATCATAGCTTTTAGGCTCTCCATCATCTATCAGCAACAGATAGTTCATATATCTCCTGTTGGGTACAGGAGGACGAGAAGATCTTCTTAATATCGGAGCTGGTGCGTCGGGCTCCTGCGCATCATCTTGTCCAACAGGCTCTTCTGGCTGAGGATCTTCTGCATTGGGTTCTTCCGAGAGGTTACTCGGGACATCATCTGCATCTACAAATATTGACTCGCTTTCTGAGTCATCTGTTTTGTGCATGTCCTTGTACATCATCTTCTCATTGAATATCACATCTCTACTGCGGATCACTTTCTTGTTTTCGTTGTCCCAAATGCGGTAACCGAACTCATCTTCACCATAGCCGATGAAAGTGTATTTCTTTAATTTGGGATCAAGCTTATTCCTACCTTGATCACTAATATGCACGTAAGCTACACAACCGAAAACTTTGAGATGTGAGAGTTTTACCTCCTTTCCGCACCATACCTCCTCTGATATTCTGTGCTCCAATGGAACCGATGGACCTCGGTTGATCAAGTAAGCTGCTGTGTTGACCGCTTCTACCCAGAACTGCTTCGGTAGGCCTGACTGTACTCGAATGTTTCTGGCTCTCTCTGTCAACGTTCGGTTCATCCGCTCAACTACACCATTTTGTTGAAGCGTGCCTGGCACGGTTCTCTCCATTCTGATCCCGTGCTCATAGCAGAACTTCTTGAATCCGGTGTCTTTATATTCACCGCTATTGTCGGTCCTGAGCTTCTTTATTCTCAGACCGGTCTCATTCTCGACCATAGCTTTCCATCTCCTGAAAGCCTCAAATACTTCTGACTTATGCTTCAGAAAGTAGACCCACACTTTCTGAGAGTGATCATCGATAAAAGTCACGAAGTAGTGTTTTCCACCAATGGACGCGGTGGTGGTTGGTCCCCAAACATCTGAGTGAACGAGCTCTAGCTTCTCTTTCCTGGGGGTTCTACCACTTGTCTGAAAGCTGACTCTCTTCTGCTTTCCAAGTATACATTCTTCACACATATCCATCTCCACTGACTGCAGTCCTGGGAGTTTTCCCTTTGTGTGCATGATTTCCATCCCCTTCTCACTCATATGATCGAGTCTCTGGTACCACAGCTTTGAAGTTTCATTGCCTGCTGCAACTGAGATCAAACAACGTGTACCTGCTATCATATATAGGGTACCAGTCTTCCTGCCTCGGGCAATCGTCATTGCGCCCTTTGAGATCTTCCAATCATCTCCATGGAAGGTCGTGGTATATCCTTCGCCAGCCAACTGGCCTACGGATATTAAATTCTTTCTCAGGTCGGGAATATGCCTGACATCCTTCAGCTCCCATACTGACCCGTTCAACTTAATTTTCACCACGCCTTTGCCCACAATAGCACATGGTTGATCATCACCAAGATATACGTATCCAAGATTTCCGGGGGTATACTTCTCGAAGAATTCTTTCTGAGAGGTAGTATGGAACGACGCTCCTGAATCTAACACCCAAGATTCCTCCTTGCTCTCCAAAGAGCATATCAATGCGTTGTCTCCTCCTGAGGTGGAGGTGACATTCACCTCTGCCTTCGCCTCCTTCTCCTTCTGTGCACTCTTACACTGATTCTTATAATGCCCGGTCTTTCCACAATTCCAACACTCGATAGCCTTCGAGCTGTTGCTTGGATTCCTTGACTTGGACCTCCTGTCCTTTGATCTACCTCTGAAGTTTGATTTGCTCCGTCCGTTTCCTCTGGTTGAATTTCTACCTCTTGACTCTGTATGCAATACTGAAGAGGTTGTAGCTTCACCCGTCTCTCTCCGTCGGATCTCCTCACTGAGAACCAAATCACGAACGTCGTCGAACTTTAACTTGTTGTTTTCCGACGAGCTACTCACAGCTGTGACTGTAGCGTTCCAACTCTCTGGTAGGGAAGACAACAATATCAACGCCCGAACTTCTTCATCAAACTCAATTTCAACTGAACTCAATTGGGTTGTAACCGTATTAAGTTCATTGAGGTGTTGTGCTACTGACGCGCCTTCCGTCATTTTCAGATTGAATACCCGCCGCATCAAATAAACTTTGTTCGCG